ACATATTACAGCTAACTGATAACAATAAATATGAAATATATACCCAACCGATAATAATAAATATGGAATATGTTATCGTTCGGAAAGTACAAGGTGTAACTACCGAATACTTCAATAAACAATAGCACATACTTTCGCTTGGCGTTCCAATGACGGGGAACCGGCACAGTATTGCGATAGGATTTCAGCGCAACAAGTATAAATGGGTCCCGCGACGTTACATCTGCCCATTCAACGACGTCAGGACGGCGGGTAGACTGGAAAATCAAACCTTATGTTTTTTATAAGAAAACATACTTCGTTATATCTATTGAGAATACGTCTTCTTACGATGGAGGACACCAATTAAAGAGTGAAAGCAAATCGTGGACAAAGAAAGAATAAACTGACCTCCTTCAATTTAGCAATACTTGGTTGCATGGCCAAACGGAGCTTTCTTCTGGACATCTTTTCAGGATCATTAGGATCATTCAATTTATCCTAAAAATTTCAACAGCGTTTCGGAAATTTTTAGTAGCTTGGAAATATGGAATTACATTAATTTCTTCTTGTAAAATTTTCTCAGATATGGATGCGCGATTGTTTTCTTCATCCTTTTTGTGGTCCTTTCCAGAAGAAACAGCTCCATCTTCACCCTCAGTGCCATCTGGGTTTGGTTCAATCTTAACAGGATAAATTCATTATCGATGCGTAGAAAGTCCGCTTCACTGACGAAGAACGTCGTAACATAGTGCATCCTGTTTACCTTAAAAGCATTGAAAATTGCATTGAAATACTGGTAATTGGGATCATTCTCGTCCAATTTTGGTGCTTCCCCGACATAGTCGATCTCCACTTCCAGAGTCTCCGCCTTGAATGTCAGTCATTAGATTCGTAGAAAGATGACTACAAGAAAAAAAATGCAACAGATTCTGTATCAAAATAATGGAAAAGACTTAAATAGTACGAAGACCTTTGAGCTAACACCGATTCATATGTTAGCTTTGCTTGGTATTATACCATTCCCACCAAATTAACACCTCTCCAAGGGAAGCCACGTTTTTCAAAATTTTGAGGTCATTTATCAAATCGACGGAAGTTTCTTTCAAATGACTCCGAACATTTTTTTTTCAATTGAATTCTTCTCAATGGACCACGGACAATTTCCAATTCAATTTAGATTTTATTTGAATGATCGTCGACTTTCTCATATAAATGACTTTGTAAATTATTGCATCATAGAATGGTGATTCTTTCGGAACAGATTCTCGAAAACCCACGGAATATATTTTCGAGTGAAATGTATGCGAGTTTGTCTACAGTGAAATCCGAAAAAAGAAACAAAGCCAACGCAGTTCTTTAACGAATGGTCGCATAAAAAAGGGATTCTCTGAGGGAGGTTTGCTGAAGAAAAAGGTCTCCTGACACAAACTTATATAGGGCTAGCTTCCATTTTAAGGATTTTGCTTTCCTTCCAGGTGTGAAAATCACAGCAGATCCCGCCAATTTTTGATTTACTCATATCGAAAACTGTGCCTGGACATTTTCAGATGCTGGGCCAGTTGAACTTGAAAAGTCTCCTCGATGGTTTCAGAAGTGTCACAAATATGAAAAAAAAGTCGGGCCGAGTGGTTATCGGCGTTGCATTTGATGAAGTGAGCCACTTTTGAAGTGAAAGGTACATTGTTACAGAATGTGATTCGCCAAGAGTATTTATATATGAGGTCGCATTTGAAAACAACACATGTATGTGAGTCTTTGTCAATGATCCCCGATCAGTTTCTGGTGAAACACGACCTTTTGAAAATATATCGGGGTAGTAAGAACAATACGAGCTCCCCCACTTTCTTCATTTGGGGCGGCGGCCGCGGCAAACCTGGCCGAGCATGCGCCATCAGCTTATCTGAGTATTCGACGTTACATTACGTATCGCAATGTAACGTCGAATACTCAGGCAAGCTGATGCCGTAATGTAACGTCGAATACTCAGGTAAGCTGATGGCGCAACTCTCGGCCGGGTTTGCCGCGGCCGCGCCCTAAATCATGAAGAAAGTGGGGGAGCCGACAATACAGCCGCAATTTGAGCGTTGAACGCTTATTGTAGCTTTTTTGATGAACTGCATCAATATGTAATCGACAAAAGACGTATTTTTCAAGCACCAGTGTTTTAGGGCCGTTCTGCTATCATCACCTTGAGTCTCTGCATCTGGCTCCTGCTTTCTCCGGACCATTAGCAACGAACATCATTGATGACCTCACTATCTTCCACTCCTCCACGTCGTCGTTTTGATAACTTCTTCTTTTTGTTCTTCAACCGACGCCGCTCCAATTCCTATATGATCTGTTTTATGTAAAGAAAGTGAACGAGAAATTCCAAAACTGGTTGAGATAACCAAGCTGCCCAGAACAGAAATGCTATCACCTGTTTCTCTTTTTTCGTCAGAGATTTTTTTGACACATCCACTTCGTCATCAGAACTGAATCCTTCATCAGGAGAAACCATGACTGATAAAAAACAATGCGATAATTTGGTGTATTACAGTGCAACCTTGATAAAGCACACAATGAAAAGGTTGCAGGTTTATGCTTCGTAAGACGAGAATGTTGTACCAATAGTGAGAACAACAAAGACGTAAACACCAAACAACGACTTCAAATTACGGTCATGAAAGCATGGGCAAAAAAGAAGCGGTTCTTTCAAAGCTGGGAATGGTCACGATATGATTTGGGGAACTAATGCTACAGCTTCAATACTACACTAAATAACAAGATGAGCGAGAAACAACGGTAATAATTCCTAAACTCGACATCTATGCTTGAAAACTCGCACGAATAAGTTGAACGCGTTGCGACCGCCGCGCTTTTGACGCTCTTTAATTGGAGCAGTGTAATTGCTTTTTCTCCTAATCATGAGAATTCGTCCAATTATATCACCCAATGATATGTGACAACGAAGTCATAAGTGGTAATGAACGAAAGAGGGAACTGCAGCTGAGTTTGGAGAGCTATTTACGCTTTGGAAGACCAAGCACACCGTTAGGCCGGACGCATAGTCGGTCGGACGACAGCAACGACTGCAAGTGTCGCACAGTATTGGGTGCGTATCGATCTGCGGCACTTGCAGTCGTTGCTGTCGTCCGACAGCAGCAGTCGTTGCTGTCGTCCGACCGACTATGCGTCCGGCCTTATACTAATCAGGCGATTGCCATACAAATTTTACCCAGCCTACCAACATCATGCGTCCGGCCCCTAGGTGGATAGTGTCGTCTCAATCACGCAATCGCACCACCTTTTTTTAAAGCAACAATCCAGGAACGAATTCGCGGGTAAGGACCACCTATAATGACGTTGCAGGTGAGAAGTTGGTCAATGGAGAAAGAAAAAGTAGAAAAAAACGTCGGGCAGGGGCTTAGACAGGGACTCCCCCTGCCGTTTAGGGAGATGTGTGTTGGACGAGTTGTCCGAACCTGCCCGTAGTACATGCGCTCCAGTTGACTGCTGGCAAATAGCCATGCATGCTTGCAAATACATAACTATTTGCCAGCAATCGAAATTGAAGCGCTTCAATTGGGTTCTTATGGAATCGACCTCATACAGCGCGGCGGTCCCGCAACGACCGCTAGTCGAGCAAGCGCTCTGCACAGCGAATGTTGGGCGATCCGCCTCTTTATGGGTGATCCGCCCCCTCCAAGAGGACTTCGACCCCTTCCAGCGCATTTTAGAGGTAGGTTTTGAAATTAAAGACATTTCCTATAAACTTTAGTTGGGCTGGGGCATGTTTTGACCGCCTAATGACCAAGTAGTTGAAACCCTGCCTGGACTGTTGCTTTAAGTGGTTGCGGAATGCAGTGTCCATCTTCATTTTGCGTGGTAGGGTTCTCTGGTAGCAAAGGACGCTGAGAAATTCTATTACGACAGTTTTCATGGCCTAGGTGTAGTGACAGTGACTTACTAACTTTGCGCAGCTCCAACTTTGCACTTACTCAGTTTTCGTCGACACAAAAGTTGACTGTCCATCTTTCCAGGTCACCAGGTCATATATTCGTTTGCATGGTTGCAATACCTTTTGGGTTCACGCCTTCTTTACCGCCCGGTACCACTTGGTTGGCTATATACAGAAGCATTACATGGACGGAATTTTGTGAGATGTTTTTTTTCTTGTCGATTCAAGGGAACTTGTTGTTGTTGTTGGATGGGATAGCATCAGGGAGAGTGGCAAAGAACGAACGGTGTTGTTGCAGCCGTTCGTCGCTATTGATCAACAGCTCGCTTGCGCCAGTACGGGTATCGCCGACGGACGATCATGTTACGATCGAATTTTTTTCATGTTTTTTGTTTTTCTTGGGGATTTTGAAACGAGCTCTTTTTGGCAGGTTTCAAATACCTCTTGAACTTTCTGTAGCTAAGAATGCGCTTGCAGCCGTGTGGTGCATCGGTCAGTTCTAAGGACCCTGCAATAGCGACCCATATCCGCCCTTGCATTTAGTTTAAGTACCGTAAACATTTACATTGGATATCTTCGTGTAGGCACAGAAGTGCACCGGTTTTTCGTCACATCAGCGGGGTGCCATTTGATTTTAAGATTATTCGAGAATAGATGCACTAACTTTTGAGGTTTCTGGCTTCATCTGCAATTTTTAAAGTAAGGTCTTTTTGTCATTAAATAGGCATGCATCTGTCTACCGAAAGCTGTGGCTGGTGCCAATCGACTCATTAGGATCTCATTGTTAGTCGTTCACTATGGGCCTAAACTAAGCGGATTGATGGTTTAGCTTAAACCATCAAACTCTTGCTACTTACTGAATTAGTTTTGGGCATGGGTGCAATTCATCGTATATTACCATGCTTAACATATTCCATAGTAATCTGAACCCAACGCTTGGTGGCAGATGTGTTTGGGTCGACACAAGGGTCCTTTTTTTATGTTGAGCCACAGCACACAGTGAGGTGTCATTTATTCTCGTTTGATTCCTGTTAACAAAGATTGGGGACTTCTGTACTGTTCGATTCTAGACGTGTGTTCTGTATTATTGGTTTTGGGTCTCATCTCAGTGAGGCCGAGTTCATAGTTCGCGACTCCGGAGATTAGGATAGGACGCGGACAGAGATATTGGAGATAGTAGATAGAGTAGAGATTACGCTGACAAGACTGATAGGTATCGATTGGAATCGCTGGAGAGTAGTAGATGAGGCGACTTCGGGCGAATCGATCAATACTTATCTAATCTTGTCAGCCACTATCCTAATCTTACTAGCCTAATCTCCCCGTCAATACATACCTTTTTCATTGTTGCGTACTATCCTAATCTCCGAAGTCGCGAACTATGAACGCGGCCGAAGGCTGGTGTCAGATTTTTTTGCGACGGATCCTAAAAATTGCAAGTGTATGAACATGAAACACTAGAATTGTGAACAGTGATTATGAGCAGTCATTCAGCCATCAATATCAAGCAGAAGTGGCGGCAGGATTGGAGAACACCTTGCAGTATTGATTGGGCACTTGTGATTTCCGTGCCCGTCGCGTGAATCGCGCAAATCGTGAATCGCGTAAATCGCGCAAATCAATCGCGTGATCGCGCAATCGCGAAAATCGCGAATCGCGAAAATCGCGAAAATTCAGTAGAAAATCAGCGAACCTGCGAAGGGGCGCGTCTCTGACACCAGCCTTAAGGGGCATTGATGCGACGCTGCGGCTATAGATTTCTATTTTGCAAGCGGACAAAACCCCAGAAGTGTGCAGTTAGTGGCCAAAAATTGGAAATCTCTCCCAAATTTCTCGCCATCAACTGCAAAAGGAGAGGCTATGCCATCCGGTAGATGAGTGATTGCCTTTTTGCTGATGTGCTAATTCATTTTCTAATACTTCATTTCCATTTTTGAGGTTGATAACCGATGTCTAAGATGTAAACGAGTATGCCTCTGAGAACTTTTCTTCACACAGAAACTCTGTGAGCTCTGAGGTGCTTGGTAAAAGTAACTCGTGAAGCATGGGTTTAAAAGAGGGACCTGATGCCGAAAAAGGACATCTCTGCGTAAATTTTTCGCTTTCCCAGCATAATCGTGAAGTCTTTCTATGAAGAGGTTGTTCAGAACTCTGTAGGTAAAGTCGATTTGAAATCATCACAATCAAGCCGAGAAGTAGGATATCTCGATATCACCTCTATGATTACGCTTCTTCTTTTCGACTCCACCACACTCCGAGAAAGCACTGTGTGAATGAGGTGATGGCTTGTCGACAACGGCGTGCAGGGGGTGGCAGCTACTTGTCTAGCTCAATCCGATGTCGTCGTACTTGGTCTTCCTTGCTTGCATCTTCAGATTTCGACATTAGTTCTGACCGCAAGCGTTCATTAGTTGGAAGTCACCACTTTGATCTTTCCTTGTTTAGGCCGCCTTTTTCTGCCATGAAATGTTTCCAGCCTCTCCAAGGTTTCTATGTACTGCTGCTTGACCATACTAAACATTGACAAGTGTTGTCGTTCAGAAACAAATTGCATTGTCTGTATAATGGCAAAAAACTTGTGCAGCGTAATCGAATTTATCATGATCCTTCGCCTTACTAGATTTCAAAGTATGAACGGGGTATCACTTATGTGAATTAGATGTTTTCAGGTAGAAGCATGTTCCGTACTGTGATCGGTCGCATTGCTGCAAGTGCTGCCGGACTGCAAGTATGTGCAGCTGGTGTTGCTCTCACCGACAAGGAGCTTTCGAAAAAGCCGGAATGGTAAGTGGTGCCATTTCTTAAGTCTTCTTTTACCCTTTTTCTCTGTTTTTTTTTACCTCAACTTCATCCTCTTCATTACCTTCTCTCTCCTCAACGTAGCTTTTGAAGGCAGTCAGGGCAGTGTGAGAAATTCTGATAAATGGTGAACTGCTAAGTCAATTTTCCAACACGTCTTTGTTACTTCCCTTTTTAGATATACCTGGATCAATTGGCAGCTTATCTCCAGGTTTTTCCAATTTTCAGCAATTTCCATATGTTGTGTTGCTGTGAAACTTCTCAAAAAGGGTAGTGCTATTTTTTTTATTCCTTGTGGATCGACAAAAAACACTGACATTGTCCTTGCTCCTTCAATCCGACTAGTTGGTTGTCTATGTAAGGTCAAGTGTTTGCACTTGTTAACACGTTGACAACAGGCTGACGCGCGCATGCGCAGGCGCGTCAGACGTTTGAGTCAGCATTGGACATTGTGACGCGCATACGCTTCAGTGGCTTGGAATTCATTTTTCATGTGTCTAACTTCTTCCAGAATTTCTGTTACTATCCTGTAGACAATACAGTGTCATGCCTAGCAACGGCGCGATCCATGGAGGAGTGAAAAAATATGCTTTATTTGAACGAAAGTTTTCTGAACCTACCTAAATTCAGTTCAGATCAATCTTCGAAGTTTCTTTTTGGAGTGAGCGTTTAAATAAAGGAATACTTGAATGCAAACAACAATAAGAATTGATGTTAAGTGGTGACAATTCTATGGATATATGATCTGTGGTTTTATTGAAGCTATCAATGCAAAAGTTCTACACTGAATTGGGTGTTAACCTTTGCTTTTTGAGATTATTACCATAAAAAAAGGCCTACGAGGCTTTCGACTTTTTTCCAGTTTGGAGTCTTTCAGCCGACAAGATAGTGTGAACATGAACATCAGCTTTACATTCATGCCCTTCGAATCGCCCGACCCTCCTCTTCTCCATCCTGAAAATTGGCTATACTATCCCAGACTTACGGACTACTCATTTTTTACTGACGTCATTACTGTTGTTTCGCTGAAGTGCAGACAAGCGGCGCGCGTCTTCACGGAAGCCGTTCTCCCTCCAACTAGCGTTGTACCTTGTTTTGCTGCTTTTCAGTTTTGTTCCGAAAAACGCACCTCGTGGGACAAGCTGACGCGCTTGCGCGTCAGGCAAATCGCGCCCGCCAAACGCCCATGTCCCATGCGGCGGCAAAAAGCCAAAACCTGCGTTGCCGTCAACGTGTTAAGTCGATAACCATTAATTTGAAAATTACTTTGGCTAATTACGGGAGTGAGAAGGGTATGGACTGCGTTCAAGGTATACGGTTAGATTTTTGTGAGGCTGCCATTCCTGGGTCGAGAAGTATCTGGGAGAACATAATAATCAATACACTAATCAATACTGATCCGTCTCCGAAGAAAAGAATGCTGTACATGCAATACGGAAACACAGCGTTTACAGTGGTTGCTTTTACAGCTGAGCAACACCTCGCTCTAATTGTGAACCATTGCGTTTCATTGCGCCATGGTGCGTCATCTGGGCACCTAAATGGATGTGTGGCAATGCGTCAGGGTTAACGGCGATTTACCATTATCAGACTTATGCCAACGGGTGCGTACCATGAGCGCTGGCTTAGGTCAATCATTTTGCAAGCTACGCGGGATTATGTGAACATTCAAGTTCGGCTCCTAATTTTCTGAAGTAGCTGTCAATTATGATTTCATTGACTCTGTCGTAAGTCGACCGGCTGCTTCATTAAGCCACTCGGGAATATTTATTGGTTCTCCCCGGAGGGTAGTAGCAAGGGACACATCGCGACGTCGCGCTGGGACTTCCTCTCAAAAATCCTCCTGCCAGCGTTTCGCTATGTTCTGAAGTCAAGAAGTGTTCGCGATTTGCGCAGTATGTGTTTTTTTTTCTGAGGTCCAAATACAGTTGAAACAGTTCACGGGCATGTTGGCCAATAGTAAAAAGGTTGTTTAGTTCTATTCGAAGCTACGGGTTTATTATTAAGTTAACTATAGAACTTGTTCAAGAGCTAGGAAAAGGGCAGAGCTGCTCATTGAAGTGTATAATGACTTCGAAGTGCACTTTATGGGCTTTAGGCGCAGTTTAGAGTGTGAAAGCAGTCTTGCAATTATTTAGGAGAATTGCGCAAAATTTAGTTCTCTGATCCATGGTGTTTGAGAAGTCGGTTGTGTTTTTGTACCACTATTAGTACGACCGCATGAAACATGTAAGGGCCACTGTTCAGGTACCGGAAGGATGTGCTCGCTTTAGAAGATTCGCTGAAGAAGCTTGGCCGACATGGTTTCAATACTTCTCAATCAGCTGTGAACGATGCCTACGAAACTTTAAAAAAGTAGGAAATTTGACATTATATCAGCAATTTGCTTTTTTAGTATATTGTAATTGTCAACTCCTCTCCCGTGAACCTGTAGCCAACTTAAAGTGAAGGGCCTGCAGTAAAGATGAAGCTCGCATTTACTGGAACCATAGACATTCATCGACAGATAGGTGTGAATTGAAGGCAGGCTAATGGGCAGTTCACACTTCCCGTGCAGCAAGTTGACTGCTAGTCTGGCAGTGGCCTTAAGGAAACGGCACGGAAACGTGCTATGTTTCTTGTGCCTCTCGCGTGATAACTAGAGGCAGCGTGCAGAGCTCCTGGGTTTATGATGATTGGTATTTGAAAAGAAACAAAACCCTCTGAAAACCGCACCTTGTGGACACTTTACGGGCACATGGGCGGTGCCAAGGGGCAGATTTGGCAGTGTACGTTGGGGCGGCTACATATCAGCTGACGCCTCGTAAAAACGATTTCAGTCCTTGGAATTCAGAGAGCAGAGGAAAACGTTTTGACGCGATAGATCAGGATAGAATAGTGAAATGCTTCTGCATTAGGTGAGGAATCCAGAAAGCTTCACTGATGGGCCACTAAGAAACGATTGGGAGCTTTCGCGCTGCAAGATTAATGATAGTCCTACGGCGCCTATGTATAAGTAAGAGTTCTCGCAGATTCTTGATTGTTTACGCAATTAGAAGTAACTTCGTTTTTTTTTCTGTCATGATGCAGCATAGCGAAGCACTCTCCAGCCTTCGGCAGTTTGGGGGGGGGGACACATTATGCGATTTCCGTCCACGCGTTATTTACCGGTAAGTGTGGCAAAAATTGTGCTGCCTTCAGTAGATCTTCAAGATGAAAAAGTTAGGGAGCATATGCGAAAACCTACTGTAGCAAGCAGTCCCTTCGAAAATCTAGATGTTTGTTCCAAATTACATCATATGTATGTACTTTTGGAGATTTTCTTTTTCAGATATTCTCACATTTCTAATGTTGAAGTTCACTGGCGAATGGCTAGAGCACTTCTTGAGAAATCTTATTTCACTAAAAGTCCAACTGAAAGGGCGCATTTAGTTCACGAGGTATGTTACTGCTTGATTGTTTTCTTCTGGAGCTGTTGTGAGGTTTGACAACTTTTTGAAGGAACATCTATTGAATCAAAACATTTTGTTTATTTTTCGCAGGGTGTTTTTAAGGACGTGTGGATTTGGAGATAAGTACAACCAGCGTTATATATAGACATTTAAAAGCGAAATCATGTCTGATAAGATATTTCCAACATCCTTGCAGATATTTTGACACGTAAGACAAGCCGAATTATAGTACGTTCTGAAATTTTTAGGCCAAGGATTGCGCAAAGAAGGCTCTATCCTTCGAAACCGAAAAGCCAAGCGCCGGAGCGCACAAATGGTTCTTCTTAGAAGAATATTATTCTACTTTTTGTTATTCTTATCTTCTTGTTGTTATTGAGATTGTTTTATGTATGCGATCGCCCTTTCCAACTTGGAAGAAATCGATCCTAAGGCCGATCACTCGGCGGAAATTCTGAAGCATTTGGAACATGCCGCTAGCATCGATAAGGAGGACGCCTATACAGTGTTCCTGTTGGGTCAGTTGTGCATCTGCATGTTCCAGTAGAGGAATTATCCTTGATCACATCTGTCCTCTTTTGCAGGTGTTGCTCATTACAAGAAGAAAAATTACTCAGAAGCCCTCTCTCAATTCCAGAAAGCCGAAACCATGAGGGTAGGTTTCAGTTTCTTTTTCTGATTCGATGGAGAATCCACTGTTTGCAAAGTTGGGAATCCTCCATAACAGGTTCGGAACGTACCTGGGTTGAACGACTCGGAGAATATCGCGAGGAACCAAATTGAAACTTGAGCTCCTCATAACTAAAAGTCTCCTGGAAAGTAGCCCTTTGAAAATTTGTCTCGTCGTCAATATCAGTGAGCTGTTTTTCTTGGGACACGCAAGTGTCTTGATTGAGGTTGATTGCGACCGTAAATTTAAAATATCCCATACTGCCTAGGGATACACGGTTGACGGCTACGTTCGACAGACGGCTGCTTCGTGTTCTTCTCAGGCACGATTCAGGATTAGTCAAGCTCACCTGTTGAATCCCTGCAATCGGTAGACAGGCGAACGAGGGTTAATGTGGTGCCTACTTTGCGGCTTGAAAGTGCGCGACAAACGTGCAGGAAGCTCGCTCTACTCGCAATCCACACCCTATTCCGCAAGCCCCACCCCGCGCGGCCGAGATACGTTGGTGCTGCAAGAAGAGTGCGGCCGCCAAAGCGGCAGTGTTAGATTGCAACTAAATGTCGCGCAGCCCGTTTGTGGTGTGAAGCGTCGTTGGACTTATGCCGAACAATCTGCACCGGAAGCCTACATTTCACTAGTTATAAACAATAACAACATTGTCAAACATATGTATAAACAAGAAACATAATACAATGAAAAAATTTTGAAAAAATCGCGAGAAAGAGGAGGGATCCCGCAGAAACTACTCGATTGCGCCGATTTCCACATCTATCGATTCTGGCTTAGAGCCAACAATTTGCACTGGAGCAAGTTTGGCCATCCGTCCGTAAGAACTCGTCCAAACCCAATCCCTCTACATTTCAAGTTGAAATAGGGCTTAAACGGAGGTCGGGATGTTGCCGAGCGTTTCGTCTAGTTTCTTTTTTGTTTTCAGATCACTGTCTACCTCAAACGTCGTATTCAAACGCATCTGCCCACATATTTTTTCCTGACTCTTGTCTTTAAAGAAATTATAGCTATGGGCAATTGCAGTAGGTCAAAGTAAGCGGTTTGATTCATAAAAGTGACGTTCTTCGGTGGTGATCAAGGACTGCAGCCACTTAAGGTAGATGAGCTAGAGCATTTTAAAATTGGAAGATGTCTTCAAATGTCTAGCAGCAAGCGGGTAGCTGGCGGATGTTGTACATTTTTACACTATGAACTTCTTATCTTTTATTCAACAAGACAAAACCAACATAGTCAGTTGGGGATGTCTGCGACACAACTTTGCAATTTCTCTTTCCAGCTAAAGATTTGCTCACAGCAACCTAGAATGACCCTCCCCGCTGTGCTATCAACGCGAACTTTCATCGACTGGCTTACCACTCGCCGCAGGTCTAGCCGTTTAGCAAAGAGAGAGCGTTAGCGTTGAAGAGAGCAGCACCGATGAGAGTCGCATCAATGCGGAAATCGGCGGACAAGGAATGGGTTCCATCGCTCTAGTCTTCTCCGTTTCTTCATCTCGGCACAACTGGCCACCTTCATTTCAAATCTAATCGGCTGCCCTCCAATCGTAAACTCCGCCTTAAAAGGCACGGGTCGCGATCAGATTCTCGAGGGAATTTTTCACAGAAGTGGTGGTACTTTCGCGACTTCAAAGTGCGCGGAAGCTGATACCTTAGCTTGACCATTGCGACCGCTGTCATCTTACCAGTCGCAACATGCGGAGAGTCTCCACCGTGTCGCGTTTTCCGATGTGCTCTCGCACGTTTTCTATCTCCTTGCAGCGTTAGGTTTCTGTGGTGCGAAGTTGGCCTCACAAGAAAATTTTCAATTCCGTGGTCCTTTTTGCTTTTTCCCACTAGGTTTCCTCTTCACACTTTTTGTCTAACTTTCAAACAGAATAACACACCAGATCGATCGCAACCCATGCCTTTGAAGGGTATGTTCGAGGTGTGCACGCTGATCCCAGTCAGAAAATGCGTTTCCTCCCTACTGTTTTCCTGGCGTCAAAGCTAGCTGTTATGGAGGTAGCAAGAAAGTATTAAGTGTATAATATCAGTCACAAAAGTTGAATTTGAAGCGCAGTGGAAGATAAAGAGACAATGAAAAAAGCAAATGCACATCACTTCGAATAAATTATTGTCCCCTATCTTGCTTGACAGTAAGTTTAACCAGATTTCTTCATTTCCAGATCAGAAGAATGTTTTAGTATCCCTTCTGTAACCCGTAGAGAACTTGTATGCGAATTTATTGTTGGAATACTTTTCCTATAAAAATTGATGTAAATGTTCTTATTCAGAAGCATTTCTCATCGAGCAACCTGTATTATATGGGCATGGCTTACCACTCTTCTGGAAACAAAGAGGAAGCAATCAAACATTTCATCGCTTCGTACAAAGTCCGCCCTAAGAATGAGCACGAACTCAAGGTTTGTCTCTTGAAAGTGATTCGCGCGTTGGAATGCTTTGCTCCTGTTTCAAGGCTTCATCATTTTTGATTCTTATACCAGCGTAAGCTTGAATCTGCTTCTGAATCCCACAACGGGATGCTAGATGATAACAAGGCAACTGTCACATAGGAAGTGCAATTCACTATGAAACAACGAAAATGCATATATTTGCTCCCCATCATTGTGTTGATGGAGGAGCTACACAATGACAGAGTGGTCGGATTTAGGTTTCTCTGGCACGATCGACAGCTCGTGGGCATCTAAGACACCTTTCTCTCGCCAAAAAATCGCTTGACTCGAAAAAATGGGTTGCATAGATTACCCACCCACACGCTTACTTCCAGATCTCGTAAAACTGTTAAAGAGATCTAGATTGTTTCTGGTGACCCTTTACTCTCTTCTGCAATGATTTGGGCTGTAATTTTTTAAGTAGCCAACAGCGCTCATTTCCGTCGATGGACGTATCACGAGCAGTCTAGAGATCTATATAAATGCTTTGAAGAAGATAAAATTGTACACAAAGAAGGCTTGATGTTACATTAATATAGAATTGCTCCTTAGAAATATTATTCGATTTTTTTTTCATTGTGACGAGCCACTAGTGCTCCTTGTGAAGAAACCCTCCGGTGACAGTAGGCTCAGGAGCGATGTGTACAACGCTCCCAAATATATCGCGTAGCGTTGTAAAATTGCGTTATTTATTGAATGGAATCATTCTAGAGTCTTCATTCGAGTTTTCAATTCAAATGCGAACTAGGCTCGTACTTGCTTAATAAACATTTCCTGCTGGTGCCATTGGAGATACTTTTTGTGCCACGTATTTTCATTTCGCTTATGGGCTAGTGCGGAGGTGCATTGCCTTCTAGCTGGCCGATAAATTAATTCGAGAGTAACGTAATTATAGCTCGGACTGTCTCAGCGTGCATCGGCCATATGATATATGAGCGTAACTAGCTGCCTTGATTCTATCCTTGTTATTGAATGTCAATTGTCATTTCGTTTTCGTTGGAGTGCTTCGCCTTGCAGTGCCGTGATTTTAAATAATGCATTGACCATTTGGTACTTTGACAAATTATCCAAGTTTTGCGACCCATGCAATAATTATCCCTTCTATTTTATAAAGCGCTAACTTTGTGTGTCGGTTTGTATGTCTGTATGTGTGTGCGTATGTATGTATGTATGTATGTATGTATGTATGTATGTATGTATGTGTGTCCGTCCGCAAAATGAAGTGGTAGGGAAACTCGTGAAGTAAACAGACCGTTAACAAAATCGAGTAACTATGACTTTAGCAATCAATGTTTTGCAGTGCTATCAATGTGATAACACCCCAACGGCTATATAAACACCTACTGAGCATGGTCTCATTCATTCCACATGATGCTGCAATAGCAGCTGGAGAGCAGTAGAGGGAATAGGATAAGATGGAGAAGGGCGAGGGGAGCTAACCGCCAAAAGACCTGAGGTCCAATTAATATCATTCTAAGGTCATGTCACGATTACGGTAATGCCTTCTACTATATAAGACACTTTTTTGTGCATGCGTGCCACCTCCACGAGGTGTCCATGTCACCAGTGGATGGGAGCACATTGGAAGGAGTAAAGCTTACGCAGGTAAGGAGGTCCCGGTGGTTGCCGGGGGACCAATCTGGTTAAAAAAAATATAAAGGCAGATCCCAGAGGAAATGTTATGGTGTGACCAATCAGCTTCAATAAGTGATCGACAGTATTTTTACTATCCTTCAAGCTTTCAGTGTATAAGCGGATATCGTCTGCTTTCCATCTGAATGCCTGTGTTTTTGGCATGAGCGCATTCCGCTCAAAAAACCTTTGGAGAATTATCGATAGCGTTATTAAGTAGCATAGAATGAGGTATAAAATCTGTTCGAAGGCACTTTGAAACCTACACCTTTTTGAGCAGAAGCTTTCGCATACTTCTAGCTACCCTTCTTCTATATGTAATTGAGAAGAAAAAAACATGTTTTATAAAATAACCGTTATACGTTTAAGTTTCATGAAGTTTCCATAGTAGTTTCCGTTGGAGCGACCAACAAATATAATATACAAATACCAAGTCATTGGATCTTCTATTTATAAAGCCGTAACTTTGAAATAACGGGATTGGGGGGTCGGGGGGTTTGTATGCTATATTCGTTGTATTGTATGTGTGTGTGTGCGTGTGTGTATGTATGTATGTGTGTCCGTCCGCAAAATGAAGTGAGTGAGAAGGAAGCTCATGGGATAAACAAACCGCTAACAAATCGGGTAGCTTACAGGATTTGAGATATCAATGTTTTGTAGCAGGATAGTTGTGATAACACTCTTAGGGCTATATAAACACCTGCTTAGCACACTTCCGTTCATTCCACATGGTGCTGCAGTGGCAGCTGGAGGGCAGTGGAGAGAGGAAGGGAGGATGAGGAAGGGAAGCGAAAAATCTACCGTCATATCATGATTGTGTCCCTTCTACTGTTTGAAACACCATTGTGTTGCATACGCGTCACTTCCAGAGGTGTTGGTGTCACAGGAGGAAGGGACCATAGCGGAGGATAGAAAGCTTGCGCAGGAAAGGAAGGTCCCGGCGGTTGACGGGGGACTAATCTGGTAGTTAAAAACCAAGCACTAACCAGAGTAGCTTTCAGGACATGAGCGCTTGGTTTGAAATGGTTTTTGTATGGCAGAGGAATACATGCATGGAGTACAAAATTAGGTTCCATTTTCTGGGTGGCTCCCCACGCGATTGTCGCGATTTGTGCGTTTCACGCGATTCACGCGACGGGTCACGGAAATCACAAGTGCCCGATCAATACTAGAGTATATCGCAAGAAGAACTGTTTGATCTACTTTATAATGCCTATAATGTTATGTACAATATTTATTCATTAATATGCAGTGGTTTTAGTCACGTGCTCTGGCGAAAACAAAAATGCTACTGAAGCTGAAAGTGGATCAAAAAGACTACGAAGTGGAAGAATACTGACTAATTTCATTGGAAGCTCAAGAACGTACAATAGTGGCAGTAGATTTATATCGAGATAAAGAACTGGAGAAAGTGTTATGTAATACATTCGAATCGAGATTTCGGCAGTGGATTTAGGGAAGTGTCCAATGCTACTCGTTTTCATCACAGATGGATCAAGTGCGTTAAATGCGACAATGTGTACTAGGCGCCTATAGAGAATAGAGAATCTAATTGCATAAAAAATATAAATATTCCCATAAAAACGATGAATGTTCCTCTGAGATGACAGAGGATAGGTGCGAATACTGCGACATCACCGACCGTACTGGGACTGGTCGTTACTGAATAGCCGAAAAGCGTCGAACCAGTCGCCATGTGTGATGGAGAATAACTGTGGATAGGAGTTGATTACCAGCACGAGTACAGTCTGAAAGCGACTCCTTGAATCATGTGCAACGGTATAAGTGTGAGTTTAAGCTTCATTTAGGAAGTTGTTGTTTTAATTCAAATGGGCCGAGGTAATTTCATTGTTGGGCTCCATGGAATAGCTCACAGGCGGCGCGGACGCGAGCGCGTGTCGATGACGTCACTTTGACGTCGCAGCGCGGCGAGAAAACGAGCAACGAGCAAGGTTTGGCAAAAATATTCTGGTACACCACGTGTTATATACTTAACGCTGCTCAAAGTTAACTCTGCATTGAGTAGAAGAAACGTGTTGTCGGATATTACGCACTCTTAAAAGGTTACACATGAAGGTGTTGACTCTTCCCCACATTTTAAAAGTCCCTTTTTCAAGCGCGAGCATTGTACATGTACGCATTACTGTCACTTCGCTCCCGGCATTACTGATTGCACTGGTTGGTGAAGTGTCAGCAACCGTCCTACTATTCAAGCGAGTGGCCACGCTGACTGTCTCGTCTTTTCGTCGCACTTGCCGCAGTTAAGATGTCACGGGCACGCGCACTCGCGCTACCGGTGAGCTTTTCTCTCCCCCTTCTAATCTGGCCCCGCCCAATTTGGGTTCGACGTCAAGCGGGCCCACAGGCAGTGTGGCCTACAAGCACCCTTCCTATACCGGGGTAACAAGGTATTGGTTCAAAGGGAGTCTACGAAAAAGTCAGGATTCTATCTCACGCACAAATCACTGGCTTGGGACCCATGATTCGTGATAAGAACGAAATAACTAAAAAATTGTGATGGTTTTCGTAAACAACCCGAAAAACCAGAAGAGCTGACTCCAAGCGCTTCTGATTCTTTCATGTGTCGCGTGATACGTGGTCGCTCCAAGGCGCACTCCTTCTATGTGTTCCTTTGTCTTCGCCCGACTTACCCGCGACCGTCCCAGAGTGTGGTTCATGTGGGTTCGTTTCCCTTCGAAAACTGGGCCTTCTTGCGTGAAAATTTGTACGTTTACTCTACATCACAACTGGCATGCTCGTGTCGCGAGAAAATGCAACAATTTCCCGGGAACGATTCCCTCAAA